TAGTGAAGGATTGGAGTGAATTTTAAATAAGAAATTGGGTCAGAAAGAGTTTGGGTACATCTGGAAGAACAAAAAGGAAAGAGTGGTGTTGCCAATATTAGAGTAAAATTTTTGAAAATGGTTATTGCTAATCTTGCACTTCTCCCATTGAAGGAAAAGTAAACCTATTGCTGTCAGAGAAAACTGGAAGGAGATGGTGTGAAGCCACTAGGATGCAGGAAGATGGTAGTGATGCAGTGGAAACTACCTAATTCTCCTCTTCTAAAATTTCTCTGAAAATAAGGCCACACAAGATCAGAATCACAAGATTCAGTCTTATTCAGAGTTCACTTACAATGCTTTCACTGAAGCCAAAAAAGCCTCATTCTGTTGCTATTTTGATGCATATAAAATTTGTAGGATATTTTTATGTGTTATGAGAGGATTCGCTATGACAGTGTGGCTATAACAAGAGATTGAAAGACAATCTGAAAGGACAACTTTCCACAGCCTCTCTAGTTTTCTCGCAGCTCAAGTGTTCAATATTTGACAACTATGATACCTATACTGAAAGTCAGGTGTTAGTTATGAAATTCATACAAATTAACACCTGTGTGTTTTATATAACACCATTTCTACTCTGTATAATTGTGCTGAAAAACTCTTCAGGGTAATTCACATCTAAAGTATTCCTTAGATTAATTTTCTTTATCTTACCTATGTCACTTGCATTAGCATCTAGCTGTGTTGTCTTTTTGATGTTCTGTGACATGAGAAGTGCTGCTTGTTCTGTAGTATGCATCAGTTTAGTCAGACTCATTCTTTGGTTATCTACAGGAAGAGCTTCCCAGACCATTATTTTGTCCTTTTGTAAAAAATTGTTCACAGTGTTAACCAAAACCTGTAAATAAAATAATATTTTTTAAGCAATCGAATCATACATAATTTATAAARGAAGAAAACCCTGACATTTTTAAGGCTTGATCTACTCACATTAATAGTTGTATTCTGAAGTGTTTCATTGTCAGGAGCTGAGTAATGAATGGTATTCAGTGAAGAGTAAGATAGTGCTTCTACATATGAAATCACATCTACAGGTAAAAGCGGTCCTAAAGTATTCTTATTAATTTCTTGCAGCATTTCCAGGGGTGTTTTTAAGTGACTAATCTGAAAAATAAAAGTMATAAGAAAAGCCACAAAAAAATTCTGTTAGTGGAAGAGGAAACCAAATGCAAATGAGTGATTTTAGTGACCTAATGGCGTTTAAGATGTTTATGCATAAAAACGAGGCATTATTTAACTGAGCAGCTCTACAAGTAAAGTTATGGTGCTACTCAGAGAAGAGACATGATTGATAAGACTCCAACAAAGTCATGGTCTGTCATATACTTGTTTTTCTTTATTTTTAACTTCTGCAGCTCTATTTTATTTATCAGAATACTGTGGAATGGACTAGTAAATATTCTGCAACATATTTTGTAAAAATAATTAAATATCAATAATACAGCATCTCAATTGACTCTTTTCTGTTAAATTGTAGTTGAATTGGTGGGAGCAGATGGGCAGTATTTATTTATTTTGTTTGGATTTTTCTTTTATTTTTTGGCAAATGCAGAATATAAAGCATGTAGATTGGTGCAACCCTACTGCATATTTCATCCTTTTGATTAAAGTTTTTGAACTACTAAATTTACTTACATAAAGTAATCAGTTTAAAAAGTAACAGCCTATAGAAAGTGCTAGAGAGAGTTAGYAGATGAAGCGTTTGGCCTAGATTGCAAGTTTCAAAGTTCTGGCTGAATTAGGTGAGACGTCATACCTAAGTCAGAATGCTGAAATCTAATGAGATTTTATCCATCCGAAAAAAAGAAGAAAAAAAAAACCTGAGCAGTAGATTTGGTAAGATATGTAGTCTCTGCTGCTGAGCAGCTATTGTAGCTTCTGCTTCATCTTTGATTTTTCTGATTAGAACTACAAGCTAATAAGTGGATTAAAATCTGATATTAAAATCTGATAAAATTGAACTATTTGGATTTATTATTTTGCTTTAAGTTTAGTTCACCTACGTATTAAAAGATTCACTACATCTTTGTATGCAAACATGGTAAGTTAAGATTGTACCTTAACAAAAAAAGCCTGTTAATATAATATATATCTTACACTGGATAAACAAATCTTTTAAATTAAAATCTTTCTGAATCTAGTAATTTAGGCAAGCTGTTTAACATAAAATGCAAACATATACAATTGTTTTTAATTTATTCATATTTATGTTTAATTTATCCTTCTAAGCTAGACATCACTATAGTTGTAAAATAATGAATAGTGAATTCATTATTTTATTTGCTTTAAGAAATCTCAGCTTCTGGTGAAAAAATCTTGAATCCTAAGTCTTTAGGTCTATAAATCTATGTCACTTTAAATAATATGCTTTGAGGAGTAAATATACTGGCATGGTGGGATGCTATTGCTCCACTTTCTATTTTGTCACTTATTTACATTACCTTTGTAAGCTTTCACTCTGAGCAAGCAAATAATTGCACATCGGTAAATGCAGCAATATATAACTTCAGAAATTACAGAAACAGTTGAGTGATTACTGCCTTTCTGAATTTTTCATGCATCATGACCTTACTATGCTAGAAATACAACACATACATTCCCAGCAAGTTATTACCATGATTTGAACACATAACCAATTTCATATAATTTGGAATTATTAACAAGACTTCTGCAAACATGCTTAAGTTCAATTGTATGCTTGAAGCATTTGTTAAAAGCTCCTTAAGAACTATTATAATTGAAATAACAGTTTCAAACAGAAACAATTAAAGGATTTGCAAATTAATCTATAAACCAATGCTACTTACTCCAGCTAAAGTTCTATTAATATGTTCAGTTATACAGTCTTTGTATAACTCACACTTGACCTTTGGATTTTCTGTAGAAATTAAAAAAAAAAAAAAAAAAAAGATTAGCTTAAGTTTAACACAATATTCAATATATACTTATTGTAAGAGCTCTTTAAGTAACTTCCCCAAACCTCCATTCACGAGCATAAAAAGCAGCACTCCAGTCTCAAACTTCAACTACCAAGACCACCTCTTGACCGAGCTGCTGTTTGTACAATATTGAAACACCACTGAACTGGATGAGAGTATTTTTATTATGTCTTTGGTAGAGTTTGTCCCCTTTTCTTGGAATTTCTACCAGGGTAGTTAAGAGAAGGATCAAATTAATGGAGGGGCAGACACCTCTGAACAGCTGTGAGGAGGTATCTGCTTTTCAGAATGGATTTTGTCATACTCTTCAGCAAAAAATAMATTTTAAAAGCATTCTATTCTGAGGAAATGTAGATGTGACTGCCTTGCCTCTTTTCATGTCTTGCTGATTAATCTAAGTGAAGATAAAGAGACACTGGTGGGTTTCTCAGAAGATGTAGCCCTGTAATAACACATAAACCTTTATAATATCATGTACCTTGGCAGGAAGTGCCATCATTTGGCTTAAACCGCAATTTTCCTGTGGATGGTTGATAACCTTCCTTGCAGGCACAGTTATACCCTCCATCCACATTTTCACATTTTGCATGATCTCCACAGGCAACAGTTCCTTCTTTGCTGCACTCATCTACATCTGCAAATATTGTGAGAAATTGAATTTTTTATTAAGTATTTACAGACTAACACCTTGCTGCTTTGTTGATAATCGCCCTACACACTGCAAGCAATTTCACAATAAAATTTCATGGAAAAAAAAAAAAGGCAAAAAGTAAAAAGGCAAACTTAATAGCAAAGCAACTGCCAATTATATTACTTAGGGATTAGCAGGATAAATCATAATTGATAATATTTTTATACCACTACTTTTATTACTATGTAATATTGCATTGTTCATGTTTTAAAAGCATGAGTTTAAATATTAATTCTATCATAACAAAATACTCGGCATGATGCAAATCATCTAAAATCCATTTTCCAGAGATTAAACTAAATAGATTTTCTCAGCGTTACTATTCAGTTAGAAAGGAAAAAGAAAACTGAAGCCTTTCTTTTAAGTCACAGCTTTAAAGAGATGCTTCAAAAAAATCATTCTATCCATCTGGTTAATCTAAGATTTAAGCTCTATGCCTTTTAAAGTGCTTGGCATATCTTTTTTTTTTTTTTTTTTTTTTTTTTTTTTTTTTTTTTAAATCACAGTTAAATTACATTTGCCTAAAATAGCTTTTGTCCTTCTAAATAATTTGCTTTTAGGTAGATAGGTTCAGTAAGTGGGTGGGGCACAGTCTATGAGTAAAAATGATGAATTCCAGTAAAGGAATTCATGAATTGATCAATTTAGGTGGGTAGGAGTAGGGAATAGTTTGCATAATTTGTTTGGCTGAAGATAGAGATCAAATAACTCAATAGATTCACTGGAGAAAGCAGCCTGGGAAAAATACCAAAGAATTCTGCAGAACAGAGTAATGGGTTGTGAAACCTATGCCAGTAAGGAGGGAAAAGATAAAAAGTCAACAGGTTTGGGATAGGTACATCTGAAAAAATGGAGAATGAAGAAACGATATATATATATATAATATTTCTATATAAGTAGATTTAAATGAACAGGATGAAGTGGGATGATGGAGAATTTGAGAAAGAAACAGGGGCAATAGCAGGTCTGATTATTGGAGAAGAATGGAGAGCTGAATTGACAGGAGGGCTTTATGAAGGGATTTAAGCACAAATAAACAAAAAACAGATATTAGGAGTTGGAAATGCACCTTTAGCATACCAAATCATTTTTGTACCCTTATTTTGTTGGGGATTTGGAAATGGGATAAGACAAACATGAGCAATAATGTATGAGAAATATGGAAAAGCATGGAAGAACAGAATGAGATACTGCATGTGTAGGGAATATAGAAGGATGTCTGAAGGATACCCGGGGACCCCTCTGACTTTTTCACAACGTTTTTTGACAAATTAAGTAGAAAGTATTTTATTTATTACAAGACAGTCTTCTTATATTATCAAATGAATGCATTTGGAATTTTAGTGGAGCTTCTGAACAACTTCTGTATCCACACGTTTTTGTATTCTATTCTTCATTCTCCAGGTTCCTTTTTCCTGCTTGTAATACTAAAGGCCTTCTAAGGAGTCAAGGGCATGGTTGAGGTTTCACCCCCATCTTTCACATGTTTCTTTGCTTCACTCAGCAGTAGCTCAGATTTGCACCTGAAAATTTGTATTTTAAATCCACAATGATCCAGAAACTCCAGCTCAAAAGCAGCTCAGATACTAGCACAGCAAAGGTGACCAGAGAAGATGGGTCTCAACCTCACAAGCCACCTCAAGCACTGCCATCTCTACTCTTTATGATGTTAAATGATTATTATCCGCTAGTTTGATGCTAGTTCGTTTGCCTATTTAATTCCCAGATCTCTAGATGTAGTTCTCGAGCTGAGTTAATGAACTGAGGTTTGAATTATCCATATTTGTATAGTTTGCGACCTCAGTAGTCATAGTGTTAACAATATTATACTTTCAGGAATCTGACAAATTGGGAAAAAGAGTGGAAAAAAAGTGAAAAAGTGATACAGTGCTATGCAGAGGCTAAGTCATAATTAAGTGCTGTCACTTAAAGACATAAGGCCTAAGTTCCTCCCTTGGCATTTAAATAWCCTCTAACACCAATAAACTGTAAAGCTCTTTCTGAAACAAGGGGGTGCCTCTTGGTGCCCTGTTGTATCACTCCATGTAACACGGTCAAACTTTGATCGAATTGAAGCGTCAAGGGTGAAAAACATGACAATAGCAGTTTGCATAACAAGAACACTCATCAGCTTTGTGCCAGAGATTTCTTTGGCCCTGTCAGCTACACTAAGAAGGGCATATAGGGTCTCAACGTGATATTCAGGATGTAGCATAAAACACCAGTAAATGACAACAAGCTTTACTAAAATTTACAATGACTTAAATACATAAATATTTCAATACATTCCAGATTATCATTGCTAGGTATCAGGTTCCCATGTGATTTACTGTTGCAAGGATTTCAAAATTATTATGATAATTTGCTTCTCATGATCCTAGTTTGATAAATCATTTATTTGTCATTATTGGGCATTCATACAAATTATCCTTTCCTTTTGCAATTATGTCACATATTAAGTGTAATGGAAATTTTAATGAGATTTAGGATTATCCAAAACAACAGCAGAAACTCAAGTACCAAGCCACATCTCTGGCAACAAGATATCTATTTAAAGTCTGAGAGAGACACCCTGTTGAGCTTATGCAAATAGACTTTATGCAGTTGAGTTGTCCATATGGAATGAATCCATATCACGCCTCTCTAATTTACTGCTTCCTAGAGAAAAATCTCCTGGTTGACAAAATTAAAAAGCAATAAGACTGATCTTGCAAGGTACTAATCAGCTTCGTATCCCTTTTAAATCATTTTAAATCAATGAGACTTTCAGGGACAGTCAACAATTTGTGGCAGTTACAAGAACGTTCCTTTTAAGTTCCTGCTTTGAAATAATGTGTGGTAACTGCAGGGTTTTTTTTTGTTTGTTTATTTGTTTTTTTTGGGGGGGATTGGACATGGACAACAGCTTGTCAGTACTCTCAGCAGTCAATTCGACTGGAACTTTGGGTATCTTAAACCATCCTCCTTAATCCACACRGGCAGTGGGATAGGGCTACCCAAACTTGCATGAGCAGAGAAGACTCCTGAGAAAAGGTTGAAGGATAGCARCTTTTTAAACAGAAGAGCATTTGCCACAGCTCTGCTAGAAACTGGCCCCTTTACTAGTACAGTATTCAAAATAAATTCTGAAGCTGGACTTTGAAGCTTTTATAATAGTTCTGATCAGAAAATGATATCACCAACATCACTCAGGCTAGCATGAAAATAGATTTATAACCTTTTATTTTATTTCTRTGCTTTGTCATTCCTCATTTACTGCAGCAGGCAAGGAAATTCCAATTAATATAAAAGTACTGAGAACAGTTATTATATTCAGTCTTGCCAATTACTGATTTTTACCTACATCGCTTTGATTCTTCACCAGTCAGTCGAGACAGCTTGATATCTGCATTATACTGTCTGCTTATTAGTAGCTTGCAAGTGATTGAAAAGTCCAATTGCAAAGGACTAGATGTTTCCTCCCAGCATCTCCATACTGTGGAAGGCAGCAGCATATACAAAGTAGAAATTAAAAGCCCTAAGAATGGCACATGTAAAAACGTCTAGCAGAGTGGCAAAATATTGTACCCCATCTGCTGTATCATTGTCCTCATCACAGAAAAGGACATGATGGAGAATGGGCCCTTTCCCAGTACTCTCAGAAGAAGCTGRGAAAAACCTGGAGAACGCTAACAGCCTGTTCCAGAAAATGGCAGACTGGCAGAATGACATTCATGTCACTTCATTTTAGAGATGTCACTTCCATTTTAGACATGGCCRTTTCCATGTTTCAACCTTGTTGACTGGAGAAAAAAAAAAGTAGGTTTGTATTTCACCTTTTTATTTGCAGCAGAATGTTCAATAAAATGTGAAGTCTAAGGATAAAACTTGTCTTTTACACAGGAAATAGATTTYAGTATCTCACATTCATAACAGTAGAAAAATATCTTCTTCAGAACTACCATGCCTCTGCATTTCTTTTTTTTTTTTTTAATTCTCCACTTCTTCCTTCTTGCTCGCTTACTTTCTGCTCTCCTGTTCTACCTTTCTCTGCATGTTTCATTGCCACCTCTTGCCAATTCCAACTGATAATGCAATGAAATAATCCTGTCCCTTGAGAGTTAACATGTACCTTTCCCTTCTTTGCAGGGAGGGGGAATGGACATTTCCCAGAGCTATTATTTCAAGATGTAGTGGGGTCCAGCCTCATCACTTCCAAAAAGGAGAAAGACCTGTCATCTAGGTCCATCTAGTCCTATCATCTRATTAGTAGCATCAGATCTACTGAGCATGAAATATTCTATTATGGTTATCTGCTAGATAAAGTGGAAAATTAATTGCGGATCAAAAGGTTGTCTTTAGGACTGACTGCTTGGTAAAGTAATGTATAATGAGAAGAAGTTTAATGAGATGAGAACATGTAAACCCATGCTTAATGAACARAGATGCCCACAGGTAATTTTTCATTTTAGTGATTTCGGTGAGAATTTTGGAAGCTGTAAAGTCATCTCATACAGACTTGCAAAAAAAAAAAAAAAAAAGAAGAAAGGGAAGTGATGAGCTAACCCCTTGTACAGGATAAAAATGAATCTGTCCGGGAAGAGAAAGAAGGAAATATAAGAGATTAGCAAGTTTATGGTAAAAAGCCAAAGTGACCTGTGAACAGTCACAGAAACAACTTTGAAGACAAGACTTCTGAAGCTGAGAAAAATGTCATAACTGGTGAAAATCAAAGCTTGGATGATAACCACAAGAATATTTGCCATTCAGTGTGCTAACAGTCTCAATCCCAGCTAATTTAAGAACGATTCATAGCAGCTGGGTAAAGCAGAGCTCTTTTAGGTAGATGTGAGCAATGGGCAAGAAATGTCGATTAGATCACTTTCTGGCTTAATATGCAGCCTTTCTGCTGATATTAAGAGCAGTAAGAAGAGAGGTTTTCAGCACTCAAACTCACAGGAAACATATCTAGAATGAGACAGTCAGCACAAAGGTATAAAGGGCAATAGATTTATTTCTCATTTTCGCGTTCCCTGCGGACTTCTGCAACATACAGAGAAAATTACCAGGGGATTGATAAGAGAGAAATAGTTACAGTTCTTCCATTCAAAGGAAATTCTAAAGGCTTGCATAGCTTTTCAGAAATAACATTTTTTCCCCCCAAGAAGTTTTCCGCCCCTGTAATATTGAACATGATCCATCCAGCTGCAATGGAAACAAAACCTCAAGGATGGCACAGAAGGCAGGATAACTGTGAATCTTGCTCATTGCTGCTGACCAGACTTAAAAACAAAACAAAAACCCAAATTCCAAATTAAAGCCCCCAGTCAAAATGTATTTGGAGCACAGAAGCTCAAAACATGTGGATTTTGCTTGTCAAGAGGCAACTGAATGCCCTTTACTACTGTTTTTCAAGACCATGACACCCTCGCTCTTAGTTCAGGAAAAGCGGCATCAACGGGTAGATTGAGGGCCACTGTTTTAACCCAATTCTACATTCATTGTCTAAAACTGCACATGGCATGAGGATAATAGCATTATTGAAATCAGTGGCAGCTGCAGTATTTTTTGAGAGAAATATAGGCTTGAACTGGAATATTAAAACTCTTCCAGAAGAATCACATGAATTTCATATCCAGACTCCAAACTCCAGAAATCTGAAGGTAGCTTACTAGATGGTTATAATTAACAGAAACAATATGAAAAGAGTGACAATTTAAAGCTGGTTGGCAGACATTAATAACTTACCCACACAGGAGGTTCCATCATTAGGTACAAAACTTTGTTGACCGTTGCTGGATTTGTAACCAGGTGCACACATGCAGAAATAACTTCCCACAGTGTTTGTGCAATTGGCATTCTCTCCACAAGGCTGAGTAGCATTTTCACACTCATTATCATCTGTCAAGACATAAATTAGGGAGAAATATATTTGCATTTGCCAAGTGAAGAAAACTATAAAGTAAAAGCTTAATTTGGCCATAGGTATTTTATTATTTCTGTACATTCATAATGCTGAGCTAGTGCTCCTTGTATTTGCCTACAAAGGTTTTCCATTGACAGAGTAAGGAAGGTGCTGAGCAGCTCTCCTCTAGCCTCATTCTGCATGAGTCAACAAACCAAAGGGAAACTCACAGGACACTGAAACACATGTATTAATGAGATTCATTTGGAAGAAGGGATCAACTCATGTATTTTATTGCATGCTTGTATTAGGTAATCTTTGATAACTATGTGGTCTTCACATATCTCCAAGATAGCCCTTGAGGACCTTCCTTGGAATTTAGAATTATAGAATATAGTGTCCAAAGGGACGTAAAAGAGTTAATTACTTCCCAACATGAAAGCAGGATCAGTACAACTAAATTGACATATTTTATTTATACTGTTCTTGAAGATCTTCTGGTATTTCTAAGCATGCCCAGACAACAAACTGCCATAAATTGTCATATTCTGACCTGAACCTTCAATGGCTTTTTTTTTTTTTTTAATTACATTCTTTCTTCTTAAGATCTTTGGGATAACTAATGATGACAAACAGATGAGCAAGAATCATGACTTGATCTTTACCTCTCAAAAATTGCTGCATGAATCATCAATTTTGTACCTACAAAAATCACATGATCTCTTTCACAGGGCTAATCCCATGTCTCCTATGGGAGAAGAAAGTAGCAGCTACATGTGCAGGTCAAGATTACTTCCTCTGTGTATGGCCTCTGCATCTGTTCTTAATGATAGAGTGAGGATCTGGGTAGTTTGACCAAAGGTCAAATGAAATCAAACTCCTGCATTAGACCATACGGTCAATCAACTGCAGTGAGTCAATAAAATTGTTCTCTCTAGAACATCCCAAGATCCCTGAGGTCTATTAAATAATTATGGCCAAATCTTAGAGGAAAACAAAACAAAAACCAAGAGCTACCTTATCCAGAGACTCTATTAGACTTATTAGACTGATAATAACACTTAAAATACTGGTACTTCCATCTTTCGAACAGTCCATTTTTTCCTCTAAGCATGCCAAAAACTGAGGCAAATAAATCAGATAGTAAAACACTCCCAAGCAAAAAACACACCCAACACACACCCAAACACACCACATCTATGCAGAGGTCTCCATTTCTTATTATCTTTATTCAGAGAAGGAAGGGAGTTAAAAGCTTCCTGAAGCCTGCTGGGATTTTATTCTTGTTCTCAAGCATACGAAACCTCAAGACATGATAAATGACAGGAAAGAACTGTTACAGGGAAAGATATAACAATTTATTGCAAAAGATGAACAATTAAGAAGCATGACAGGACGAAGAAATATGATTTCAGAAAAGGCACCCATGGATGAGTTTCTTAAAGGTGCTTCTGCTTCCTGATGGCCAGTGTTCTCATAAGGTGCTTGCAGAGACAGGATATAGATAACTACACTGTCATGTAAGTTAAGGAAGTGGTAAAAATAAAATACACCAAGAGCTGTAACCAAGTGCAACAGTAATACCTTTCTGCAGTATAACCTATTTCTGACCCCCAGAATAACTGGCACAGTGCATTTTTCAGGTTATACCTCTGATATGATCTTGCATGTTATTCAGTGGACTCCAAGATGCAAATATCAATTCAGAACTGCTGCTTTCCTCAAGGGAATTTGAGTCAACAGTATCAAATGGATTACACTCATTATAACTAAAATTGAATGTAATTTAATGAGGAATCCAAGTATGAAAACTCTGCCAACACATGCCAACAATATTTATTTTACAGCTTTGGTATTCATGAGAAAACAGTGAAGGTGTATGGATCTTAGAGAATGCCAAGGTAAATCCAGAATGGCTTCAATGAAATCATGAACAGGGCAGAGGGAAGTGGTAGGAATCTAAACTGAGAAACCGGCYCAGAAAAACGACCATTCCTGTCTGGCAGGTGGCAGCCTAAAACATTTTACAGATCCTTGCAGTGTTAGAATTGCAAATGAGAGTGAGAAAGACAAATGAGGAACAAGTTTAAGAAAGAGAGAAAGAGAAAAAAAAGAAGAGAGTTCTATATGACTTTTATTAGATGTGCTTAAATAATCTGCCTGGCTTTACTYGTAGAAATATTTTACAAGGTGAACAATGACAACAACAACAAAAATCCTTCAGTTCTTAATGTAGTCACCACTTTGAACTGCCATGTGAAGAAAAAAATCTAGTTTGAAACCCAAAGGTTTAAAAGATACTTTCTCCACTTYTTACATAATTTATAATATTACTGGATTTGTGGTTTAAAGGGAGTTAGAAAAAAAACAGAATTTAAAGATAGGAAGTTTTTGCATCAAATGTTTTTCCACAGATACAGAGAGGATACTTTAAATGGCAGCAAGCATATAACCCATCTGCCTTGTTGCTACCCAATAAAATTACAATATGTGCATTCACTGCTGGCAGATACCCGTTGAACACTGCAGGCAGAGCTTCAGGAACACACACTCCTATAAAGGCTTTTTTCTTTTTTTTTTTTTCCCCCCTCTCTCCTCTCTCCCAGTTACCGATGAAAAATTCAAAGACTTTCAGAAACAAGATTGACCAAATGACAAGGTTATTATGCCTGTATGGTAATACTGCATTCACATCTATTTGATATACATCTCCTGAATAGCTTACTTGTCTTAACTCTTTATTTAAAATAGCAATACAGCCATCATATCTGATTTGCCTCAAAATCAGATCATTAAAAATGGGAGGAAACTTATGAATGTCATAGAAAATCTGAATTAAATGGCCTGTAGAAAGGTAGCTATAGGGATATGTATGTAAGTGTATGTAAATATGGTTATAGTATTTCCTTGATACAGGTAGAAATTAAAACTTATTCTCTGTCCTCACCTTGAAAATTCAGCTATATATTTTGCTGTGCATAAATGCATTTACAGTTAAACAATTACTAGTTGCATGTAATCATCTCTGGTAGTTTGGAGAAAATACATAAGGGCATTCTAAAACAAAACTTCTGAAGGGCTGATGTACTGCTTTTCAGAATCCTTTTTGAATTGACAAAATGGTTTTTCTCTGTTAAAACTAAAGGTATTCATTAATCTGGAAAACAAATTTTGACTTATGATTGAACAGCCTCATAAGTTCAAACATTAACATAGTCTTCTCCAAATGCAGAGGACCATGAATTGGGTCCAGTGTTCGTATAAACACTTTCATATAGGATAATAATGTTCACTCAGATAAATCTCTACCAATTTTATATTGCTGTAAAACTGCATTTTGCATTGATATAATTTTTTTCTACGATTGATAGAAAAACATATCCTTTTTAAACAAAATTTTATATCATATTTGAAATACAAGATTCTCAAAAGAATAATCTGTGGAATTTAGAACCATGATGCTATTGGAAAACAGAGGATTTATAGGAAAAGTATAAACCAAGTTTCTTCCAACATATTCCATTTGTTGTCAAAAAAACCCCACAACTTTTATCTTGTTATATACTCTGATAATATTAGGTGGATATTAAGTTATGATCTTAAATAGGAAATCTACACTTACAAAACTATTTAAGTCATTATTATGACAGAACCCCTTGGATTATCAGTTTTAGGTGTAGGATTTATTTTGTTATACCGTCTTCATGTTTTACATGAAAAAAGTGCCATGAGGGAAACTGCTAAATCCATTGCCATAAAAAATAAGCAAACAAAAAAGAAAAAAACAAAAACCACAACTGTCTTGAAGGATTTCCATTGCACCAAGTACACTGCTAGGATAGATTCTGCCATGATATGATGACATGCAATATGAAGTTAGTTACGGGGTGAAACCTGCCATATTAATTCACAGTCACACAAAATATTTATTTTTTCTTCTAAGAATTTCGGAGGTAAACAACTTCTCCTTTCACCTCAAATAACACACCGGTAAGATCAGTTGCAATCACCTAAATTAAAATTTGCATATTTTCAGTTCTAATTGAATAAGATTTTTGTAGAGCTAAAAATCTCACATCTGAGAAAATATTCTGGGCTCCCTGGCATGCACTGAACTAAATTGATAAGTCAGGCTGATGACCTTTACCAACTGAAAAAGTGACCTGAGGGAAAAACAAGCAATGCTRGACCTGGAGTTTGGTCATTGGAGACAGCCGGCTGGAGGCTACTCACCTAGGGGGATGACCTGCACTGCAGGACCTGCTCACTCAAGCACATGCCACCTGCAAAGCCTACCCTGGAGCCACACAGCCTGGAGGCTCAGCGTGCGATGTCCAGTCTCCTGGCTGCTCTACAGAAGGGCTGGAATTCCCTAGAGTCTTGGATCAAGATCTTCTTTGCAGTTAGACCTACATCTGCTAGAGCCTTGGCTACAGACAGAACACACAGGAGTTTTATCCTCCTCCCTCTCTGGTAGGGGCCATAGTAAAGGTTCTCAACATGAGATGACCTTTAAGCGCTCCATAGACAGGCTGGAGAAAAGCAGGAGGTTTCCCAGGACAGCACAAACCTACCTGGTACAGGTAAACTCTTTAGACATCATGACATTTTGAAGAAACATGTTAACAAATTAAGACACCTGAGCAGAGCTTGAGTTTGACAGTTCAAGTTTCTCTAAAGCCAGGTCTAAACAGACATAGAAGTGATTTTTAAATTCAATACAAGCTCAATGTTATTAGAGACCATAAAAAACCCATACAGATGCTATTACTGTATATTAAAATACGCTTGCAACTTGTTCTGTTCAGTGTATTCCCCGGATGACATAAAAGGCAGCAATTAAATCAACAACAAATAATTTTGCCATGATCCAGGCCTTTTGAAGCCAAGATTGGAGGCCTCAAGGGCCCATGTGTCCATCAAGAGTGGCAGCGGCAGCCCAGGACTGGAGGCCACTGTTGGGCTCCACAGTCTGAGAAGTGGACAGCACTGAGTA